CAATCAAATCAAGTGAGTGAGCGACCTGTTGCGATAAGAGATATGGAGGTCGTAAACAAACTGAGAGACATACACACTATTAGTATGGTGAGAGCAAAGATTGAGGAGGTGAGTAGGTTGATGAACGGGCAACGTCACGTAAATCAACAAATGAAGAATGTGTTAGCTAGCGCTGCTAAACTATGCAAAAGCATTAAGAATGAGGCAAAAATAATCAGCAAGGGAAATACGGAGTCGAAAAGCACTCAAACTGGCCCAACAATTGTAGCCAAAAACCAAACTAAGCGTAGCAGAGCTTCAACAGAAGGCGGTCTTATAACCGAAAATCAGGCCCAACCAATAGGGAAACGGTCGTGTTTTTCTTCCCCTCGCGCTGACGAAACCCTACTGGTCGGGGCGAGACCAATGAAATTCCGAGTGGTCGTCCTGAGGATGGCGGGAAAAATATCCCAGCAGACAAGGAGGGTTGGACCAAGGTGGAGAAAAAGCAAAAGCTAAACCCAAAAAGAAAGATGGCCCGCGCCGATGCCATCATTGTTAAAAGTTCAGGGGATTGTTCATATGCAGACATTTTAAAAATGGTTAAAAGTCAGGACAGCCTCAAGGACTTCAGTGAATCAGTTCGTAAAATACGGAAAACAGCAAATGGGAAACTGCTGTTTCAACTCGGAAAAACATCGGACCAAAATACCACAAAACTAAAAACTGCAGTAGGCCAACTACTATCTGGAAAGGCTGAGGTGAAAGCGCTAACAGAGCAAACGCTGGTGGAAATTCACGATATTGATGAGATCACATCCGGGGAAGAAGTAGTGGAAGCCCTCAGTTCCTTACATAGTGACATGAATTTTAAGAACTCAGACATCCGCTCATTGAGAAAAGCCTATGGTGGTACACAAACTGCTTCACTCGTGTTGCCCACTGACACAGCCAGGGCTCTAATTGAAAAACGTAAAGTCCGGATCGGGTGGGTTATATGCCGTATTCGCGAAAAAATTCAGATCACACGTTGCTACAAATGTTTGAACGTGGGCCACATCGCGAAAAACTGTTCTAATACAGAGGATCGAAGAGGTGCCTGCTTTGAATGCGGTGAGGAAGGGCACACAGCCAAAACATGCAAAAACCCAGCGAAGTGCGTCTTGTGAGCAAATAAAGACCCAAGCCGAGCAAATCATCACACCGGAGGCGTAAAATGTCCTTTTTATCAGGAGGCTGTCCGTAAACTACAAAGACCATGAGAGTACTCCAATTAAATCTGAACCATTGTCAGTCCGCTCAAGACCTACTAGCGCAAACAGTAAATGAGTTAAGTGTTGACATTGCAATCCGCAGGGAACCTTATAAACACAGAGATTCCACAGTATAGACTCGCGACATAGACGGGAAAGCAGAAATCTGGTCATGTGAACAAAAGCCGAGTTTTATTCAATGTGTAGTCTCCGAAAACTGCTTTGTATGCGCTAAACTTGAAAATTTATATGTGTATAGTTGCTATATACCACCGAACACTCCCCTTGCGGCGTTCGAGGATATTATCAACAAACTCCGCCTGGATGTCAGAGGGAGAAGTAACGTAATTATAGCTGGCGACTTCAACGCATGGGCGCAAGAATGGGGCTGCCTTAGAAAAAGCCCAAAGGGCAAAGCGCTCTTGGAAGCATTTGCGTGCTTGGACGTCATCCTCTTAAACACGGGTACCGAATACACCTTCAACCGCAACGGATATGGATCAGTTATTGATCTGACTTTTGCAAGCAAGGGGCAGTCCCTGCATACGAAGTGGAAAATTAGCGATTGTTTCACGCAAAGCGACCACTCGGCAATAATATGCGACTTAAATCAAGGTAGGGTCAGTACCCAGCAGGATATTCGAAAGCCCACTTTTTCAGGATGGAAAGTTGCTTCACTGGACGTGGACGTATTCGTAGAAATGCTACCTGCGCGTGATTACGAAGGGTCGGCAGAAAACATGGCGAAACAGCTAATGGCAGACATTAGGGCCTCATGCGATGCGGCAATGAAAAGGCGGTCCACACTCAGGCCACACAACACTGTTTATTAGTGGAACAACCAAATAGCATCTCTAACGACGCACTGCCTTCAAGCAGGAGGCGTTTTCAACGTTCCAGAGGAAGACAAAATTTCGAAGAAAGGCGAGAAACGTACAAGAAAGCGCGTACCGCCCTTAAAACCGCTACTAAAGACCGTAAGCGCCAGCACTTCCTAGAGCTGTGTGACGATACAGAAGGAAATCCATGGGGAAATGCTTACAAAATTGTTACAAAGAAATTGAAAGCTACCAAAGCTCCCCCACCAACGTGTCCCATTTTTCTAAAGACTGTGGTTGAGACGTTGTTCCCCAAACAAAGGCCGCTCGTTTCTCCGGTGAAAACCGAGATGCCATTATCGTTTGAACTGGTAACAGCAACAGAAATATTGAATGCAGTAGAAAAAATAGACGACAAGAAAGCACCCGGGCCCGACTGTGTACCTAATAAAGCCCTCAAACTGGCAGCAAAGCATCTAACTGATTCCTTTGTGTCAGTTTCCAACGCATGTTTCGCGGAGGGCATTTTCCCATCTATATGGAAGCAACAAAAGTTAGTCTTGCTGCCTAAGTCAGGTAAACCAACAGACGATCCTACCAGCTTTAGACCAATATGTCTGCTTGATACAGATGGTAAGATTTTAGAGCGCGTAATAGCCAACCGCTTAGAGACAGAAGTTTTAGCTAAGGGAGGTATCTCACCCAACCAATACGGCTTCAGGAAAGGTAGGTCTACAGTGGATGCAGTATCGGCGGTAATTCAGTTAGCTAGGAGTGCAACCTCTGGTTCGCGATGGCTCGGGGGCTCTAAGCAGTACTGCCTTATTGTTACCCTTGATGTTAATATCGCGTTCAACTCGACAAACTGGGTAAAAATATTGGACACGCTGGATCGTTTGGGGGTATCTGAATACCTAAGTCGCCAAATCAGAAGTTACTTCCAGAACCGAATCCTGTGATATGAAACTGCACATGGCACGAAAAATCTTGAAATCACTGGTGGTGTCCCACAGGGTTCCGTCCTCGG